AATAAAGCATTAATCACTTCATTAACAACACCAAACAATCAAAAGAATTTATTTGGAGATCACTACAATAGATTTAAACAACTTAAATGCTACAAAGAAGATAACATTGTTACATTCCATCATATTTCAGGTATCTCAAACTGCTCAGATTTTCTCACCAAGAAATACTCAGGTCCTGAAATTCAAAAGACATTAACCTCCACACCATTCAAGAATCATTTCTTTTTAAATCTATAGGTACTTCACTCATTCTTTCATATTCAATCACAACCAATTGAACACCGGTTAACAAAAGACAACACAATATAGTTCCAAATCAAGTTTCATCATATTTAATATTATTACATTCAATAAATACTCAGAAATGAGGGGGGGAATGTCAGGTATTACATAACCAGAATAACCAATTATGCACAATTCATCAATACTCAACATTTCACATCAACTATAAGAAGAATCAAGAATCCACTAATTGTAACATTATATGTATATTAATAGAACATCGGAATTACCTTATATACACACAGTAGAGGATATTCTGTCAGAATTGCATCAAATAGTTGTAACTTGAGCTACAGTTGCAAAACGCATTTGCAGCTCTTTTTGATTTGAAATTTGACTGTTTGACTGTCCAAGGGACGAAAGTAGTAGCTAGTAATCATGGCATAAAGGTATCAAGGTCAAGATATCGAGAATAGAACCAGGATCCCATAACTAATGTTTCCTTGACTACTGCCAAATGTTTTTGTGTTGATGAAAAATGCGCGCGTATTTTTTTCTTTACCGCTGAGGAAAACATCAACTGGATGAAAACGAGATTAGTATAGAATTCAAACTTAGCTTTGAACTGAAACATCAGATAGGGCGGTACCTCTCAACTTTCAAGAAAATGCCAGCGCCCTCGCCACAGCGAGAGTCCAACTCATCAAGCAGTGGTGATGATGAGTTTCATAATGCTGACTCAGTTGCCTCACATTCAGATTCTTCAAGCAAATATACAGATTCACCAGAGTTCCAAGACAAACCACCTTGTACGACTTGATACCTTAGCCCACTAACTCAAAAAGTTTTTGTTCTAACTCAATTGTTTGTTTTAGCAGCACAGGGATCATTTCATGGCTTCAATTCAGCTTTAACTGGTCGTAGCGCCATACCTTTTAGTGGATTCAAAACTCCACAAGTTGCTTCAGGAAGATGGAGTGAAAGAATTAAAATTGAATCTACTGTTAAACAAAGAGACCAGGAAATCCAAGGTGAGCGTTTTGCTGAAAGAGGTGTTTATGATGTTTTTGATAATTATTATGACCCATATCCATGTTGGCAAAACCCTGAGACAATTCCAATCACAAGACAGGAGATTGAATTAATATTCATTGAGTTGATGGAGATTTTTGGATTCCAATTAGATAATACGAAAAACATGTTTGATTATTTGTTAAGATTATTGGATTCAAGAGCGTCAAGAATGGAGCCAAATCAAGCGTTACGTTCATTACATGCAGATTATATCGGCGGTTTGAATTCTAATTTCAAAAAATGGTATTTTTCTGCTCAGCTAGACATTGACGATACTGTTGGTTTTATAAATGTTAAGAAAAATGGGAAAGTCAAAAGTTCTTATCGTAAAGATAATGATTTGGAAGGAGAAGAGCCAGTGGTTCTCACATTGAATGATTCAGAGAAAAGGTGGTCTGAAAACATGAATTCTTTGTCAGCTCATGACTCAATCATTCAAATTTCTATTTACTTGTTATGTTGGGGTGAAGCAAATAATATAAGATTTATGCCTGAGTGTCTTTGTTTTATTTTCAAATGTTGCAATGATTATTATTATGGATTGGAAAAAATCAAAAAAGACTATCCAGATCTAGAGAAGCCAACCAATTTTCTTGATCATGTTGTTACACCACTTTATGAATACTATAGAGATCAATCTTATGAGATGATCGGTGGCCGTTACGTCAATAGAGATAGAGACCATGCTTCAACTATCGGATACGACGATATAAATCAGTTTTTTTGGTATCGTAAAGGTTTAGAGAGGATTCAGATTCAAAAAAGTAAAAGAATGTTGGTGAGTTATCCACCTCATGAACGTTATCTATATTTAAATTCAATCAAATGGTCAAAATGTTTTTATAAAACTTATAAAGAAAAACGAACTTGGGGTCATGTCATTTTGAATTTCAATAGAGTTTGGATTATTCATATTGCAACCTTTTGGCTATACACGTCGTTGAACTCTCCAACACTTTACACAAAGAATTACCAACAGCACCTCAATAATAAACCAACTAATCAAGCAACACTTTCAATAATGGCATTAAATGGGTCAATCAGCACATTTATCAACATTATTGCCACAATCTTGGAGTTTTTTTTCATCCCAAGAAAATGGCCCGGCTCCCAACCTTTAGTTTCAAGGTTGTTGATTTTGATTTTGATATTTATTATCGTTACTGCTCCATCCATTTATATTTTCGCCTTTATTCCATTGAAAATTCAAACAACTCTAGGTCTTGGTTTGGCTATCACGCAATTCATCGTGTCCATATTTGTTAGTTTGTATTTTGCAATTGTTCCAATTGGATCTATATTTGGTGGTTCCTTGAAAAGAAGAAAGAGTAGAGATTATTTGCCAAATTTAAACTTTACAAATTCTATCCATAAGTTGAATGGTAAAGCTTCGTTATCGTCTTATGGTTTATGGTTTACTGTGTTCACTGCAAAGTTTCTTGAGTCTTACTTCTTCCTAACTTTGTCATTGAAAGACCCAGTGCGAGAGTTGAGTGTTCTACAGATGCATAAATGTGTTGGTGAAGTTTATATTGGCAGTCTTCTTTGTCGTTTTCAGCCCAAAATATTGTTAAGTCTAATGTATCTCACAGATCTTGTCTTGTTCTTTTTAGATACTTATCTCTGGTACATCATTTGCAACACATTTCATTCTGTTTGTCGGTCATTATACATTGGGGTTTCGATTTGGACACCATGGAGAAACATTTTTTCAAGACTTCCAAAAAGAATATATTCCAAAATTATAGCTGCTGCTCCTGAAAGTAACTTGAAAAGCAAGATTTTAGTTTCACAGATATGGAATTCCATTATTATTTCAATGTACAGAGAACATCTTTTATCTTTAGAACATGTGCAAAGATTGATTTACCAGCAAGTTCTTCAAACTGGATCAGACGGTCATGAAGTTACAATTCTTAAGGAACCTGGATTTTTTGTTTCACAAGAAGATCAAATTATGAAATCATCGTTGTTTGAAGCACAGTCTGAGGCCCAAAGAAGAATCACTTTCTTTGCTCAGTCGCTATCTACGCCAATGCCTGATCCTCCCCCTGTTGGTGCAATGCCTTCATTCACGGTGTTGGTGCCTCATTATAGCGAGAAAATTACGTTAACGCTTAGAGAAATCATACGTGAAGATGAAGGGTACTCTAATGTTACTCTTCTAGAATATTTGAAGCAGCTTCATCCACTTGAATGGTCATGCTTTGTTCAAGACACCAAAATGCTAGCTGATGAGGTCAATAATGAAAGTTCTACAAATGATGAGTCAGGTATGTTTTCAGCCAAAGACAAAATTGATAACTTACCTTTCTATTGTGTTGGTTTTAAGACAGCAACTCCAGAATATATTTTGAGAACAAGGATTTGGGCTTCATTGCGCTCTCAAACTTTGTATAGAACCATCTCTGGGTTTATGAACTACTCAAGGGCTATTAAGTTATTATTTGATGTGGAAAACCCAAATTTGGAGGACTTTGACAATGATGAACAGAAGAAACTTGAAGCAGCTTCAATAATGGCATTACGGAAATATAGAATGGTTGTATCTATGCAACGAATGAATGAGTTCAATCAGGATGAGCAAGAAAATAAGGAATTACTATTAAGGGCCTATCCAGAGCTACAAATTTGCTACTTGGAAGAAGAACTAAATCCAGAGACAAATGTTGTAACTTATTACTCCTCATTAATTGATGGAAGTTGTGAGATTATGGAAAATGGTCAAAGAAAACCAAAGTATAGAATCAGATTATCTGGAAACCCAATATTAGGTGACGGTAAATCAGATAACCAAAATCATTCATTAATTTTCTGCAGAGGCGAATACATCCAGCTTATAGATGCCAATCAAGATAATTACCTAGAAGAGTGTCTCAAAATTAGAAGTGTTTTAGCTGAGTTCGAAGAAGGCGAAGATGAGCAAGTAGATCCATATCCCCAACCAGAAGAATCTAAGGAACATAAGGCCAGCAATCCAGTGGCTATTATAGGTACAAGAGAATACATCTTTTCGGAAAATATCGGTATTCTTGGTGATGTTGCGGCTGGGAAAGAACAAACATTTGGAACTTTGTTTGCAAGAACTTTGGCTAGAATTGGCGGAAAATTGCATTATGGTCATCCAGATTTTTTAAATATCATATTCATGTCAACGAGAGGCGGTGTTTCCAAAGCTCAGAAGGGATTGCATCTTAATGAGGATATTTATGCTGGTATTCAAGCTATATTACGTGGTGGTAGAATCAAGCATTCAGAATATATACAGTGTGGGAAAGGAAGAGATTTAGGTTTTGGCTCAATTTTGAATTTCAACACTAAAATCGGTGCAGGGATGGGTGAACAGATGCTATCAAGGGAATATTATTATTTTGGCACTCAGCTACCATTGCACAGGTTTTTGTCATTTTATTATGCCCACCCAGGCTTCCACTTGAACAATGTTTTTATTATTCTTTCAATCAGATTATTTTTGATTGTTTCCGTGAATCTTGCTGCTTTAGTTCATGAATCTGTCATTTGTGACTATAACCCTCATATTCCTATTACAGACCCCAGAAAACCTACTGGTTGTGCGAATCTCATTCCACTCATCAGATGGCTAGAGAGAAGTATCCTTTCAATCTTTATTGTCTTTTCAGTCTCATTTGTGCCGCTATTTGTTCAGGAGCTAACAGAGCGAGGTCTTTGGAGAGCTTTTACAAGGTTGAGCAAACATTTTTTATCGTTTTCGCCGTTGTTTGAGGTTTTCGTTTCTAAAATCTATGCACAGTCTTTGGTTAGTGACCTAGCAGTTGGTGGCGCAAGATATATCGCCACAGGAAGAGGTTTTGCAACGGTTAGGGTTCCATTCTCTATACTTTATTCAAGATTCTCCTCAGAGAGTTTCTATTTTGCTGCTACTGGAACTCTTTTATTGGTTTACATCTCAGTTGCGATGTGGGATATTGCATTGTTATATTTTTGGGTTACCATTCTAGCACTCCTTATCTCTCCATTTTTATATAATCCAAATCAGTTTTCCTGGAATGAATTTTTCGTTGACTATAAGAATTATCTAGCGTGGTTGTCTTCTGGAAACACAAAATGGAGTGGAGACTCTTGGATTGCCCATGTGAGAGCCATTAGAATTCAAGTCACAGGGTCTAAGAAAAAGAAACTTGGAAAGCCTGGTGACAAGCTTGCTTCTGATTTTAAAAGACCGTCTTTACTAAACATTATGTTTTCACAAATTCTCACTCACTTGTTTTTGACGGTGTCAGTACTAGTTGCATATTTGTTTGTCAACTCACAAAATGATGTTCGAAGCGCTGTTCCAACAAACACTCTATTGAGAATCCTGGTATTTGCCTTTGGTCCTATTGTGCTGAACATGGTTATCTTACTTGTCCTTTTTGTCATTTCTGCAGTGATTGGTCCGTTTCTTTCAATATGTCTTCCATCGTTTCCTTCACTTATATCAGGAATTGCTCATACATTTGCAGTTATGAACCATATTGTGTTTTTTGAACTGTTGTGGTTTGCTCAAAATTGGGATTTCAAAAACACAGTCCTTGGTATGTGTGTTTGTATTTTGATCCAAGGATTGTTTTTCAAACTCATAATTTCCATCTTCTTAACTAGAGAATTCAAGCATGACAGATCTAATAGAGCTTGGTGGTCAGGTAAATGGGCAACTGCTAGTTTGGGCTGGGGAATTTTTACACAACCAGGAAGAGAGTTTTTATGTAAAGTTGTTGAATTAAGCATGTTTACGGTGGATTTTGTTTTGGGTCATTTTATTCTATTTGCACAATTACCGATTTTGTTTATTCCTTATATTGATCGTTGGCATTCATTGTTGTTATTTTGGTTGAAACCTGAACGACAAATACGTCCTCAGATTCTTTCTTCAAAGAAAAAAAGACGAAGAAGATTAATTGTTCAGTTTTATTCATTCGTGCTTCTTTTGGTATTAGTATTTTTTGTGGGGCTTTTCATTTTACCGTTCATATTAGATGATGTTTTACATTTTGATATTGGTCGATACGTCCCAGATATTGCTCGTCAAATTATTCAGCCAGATAATGGTCCAAATCTAAAAAAAGGGTTGAAAGCCTACAAGCTAATGAAAAAGAAAAATGCAGTAAGATCTTGAGCAGTCTATGAATTATAATATAATAGCAGTATTTATTTGAAGATTTTGTGTAGGCCTTTACCATTTTTCAAATATCGATTCTAGCATTGTGGAGTCCAATTGATGAGCTTCCAGTTTTTTCTTTATTTCAAAAACTTTTCTTTTATCTGAAAACATTCCAACAAGTGAGAATCTAGGAGCAGATGAAACAGCAGACAATAATGACAACACTTTTTCTATGAAATCGTTTGACTCAGGGGTTTGTGAAAATGCAAATATTATGGAGTCCAGTATGAAATTTATAAGAGCAGGTTCTATACTTCCGCCGGCGAACAATGATCTGTAAGTGTCTGAGGACAATGAGAAGAAGTATTCATAAGCATATGGCTTTTCTTGGTCTTTACATTTAGTGATGGAGATCAATTGATAAACCGTTGGTTTCTCAGGGTATGCTGGTGTTGTGTTGTATGCTGGTGTTGTGTTGTGTTCTGATATGATTTCTTTGGTGAGCTTTTGTGGCTGGGGTTTTGGTGTAGATTTCACAGAGTTAGAGTTAGAAGTCTGAGATGAAGTCTCCGTTGAACTTTTGAATTCTTCTGGTAATGTGTCAACCTCATATATGGGTATTCTTTCAATGTGTGATTGGGTCTTTGGTTTCTTCCCAACTTTGATTTCATCAACGCTACGACTTCTCTTGTATATTTCCTGTTAGTATTACCGTCAAGCACCGTTCAGAAAAACTTAACTCACCTTGAATTGAGATTCTTGGGCCTTCAATTCCTCGATCGATTTGAGTACACTTGTATTTTTGGAATCAAGTTTCAATGCCAGTTGATATGATTCTATAGCATTATGGAAGTCATTGAGCTTTAAATAGGAGCTACCTCTTCTAAAGAAAAGTTTGACTTTAGTCTTGTTATCGGGTTGACAAGATAGACCTTTATCACAAACTTCAATACAATCAGTCCACCTTGATAGTTTGATCAATGCCATAGCTTTGTTTGAATACAAGACTGGGTTGGAAGGATCTAATGTAGCTGCATCACCGTACAATTGAGCAGCCCTTTCATAGTTTTTAGCAGCAAACTCTTCGTTACCTTTTGATTTCAAGATATCACTCATTTCAATGCCTTCCTTTCGCTGTGTCAAGGAACCTCTTGGTTGAAGGTGCCTAATGTTTTGATCGTGATGATAAAAATGAAAATTTTGTTGTTCATACCGATAAAAAACGCTGTTGAACATTTAAAATACCTTTAATCACTGTACATGTTCCGATTCATAGATCAAGACTAGATTTCTTCAAAGTCTTCGAAGAATCCAATCGTGCTGGCTGAGTTTTCAAGGCTGTTATTATCCGTTGTTTTCGTTCAGCTGAAGCAAATTTTTTGATCAAGATGGTGTCGGAGGACTTAAGAGACGAGCTTGATGCCATAGAAGCTATCTACCCAGAATGTTTGACACGAATGAATGAGAATTTGATAGATCTGAAGATACCTCAACATGAAGAATATGTCGTTAGGATGTCATTTCCAGAAAAATACCCAGAGTCTGAGATCCCACATATATTACAAGTGCGATCAAATGGTCATGACGACCAATATCTTGAGACTCTTTTCACCGAAGTATTAGAATCTATCTACACAGAAGGCAATGTCTGCATTTTTGACTTTTGTACAGAATTAGAAGGTATACTTTATACAGAAGAAGAACCTGAAGAACCAATTGTTCAAGAAGAGCCCGAAGATTTGAAAGTTGATCTACTAGAAGGTTGGACTGCTTCTGAGCCAGTATATGACCGTGGTTCCACTTTCATGGCTTTCGTGAGAAAAGTCGATTCAGAAGATGAGTTGTTTGAAAAACTGGCATTGTTGAAATCTGAGAGAAAGGTTTCAAAAGCGAATCATAACATGACAGCTTGGAGAATCCAAAATAGTGATAATACGAGAGTACAGGATTGTGATGACGATGGTGAAACTGCTGCAGGTGGTCGTTTACTACACTTATTGACTATCATGGATGTTTGGAACGTGATAGTGGTTGTAAGTAGGTGGTTTGGTGGTACCCATATTGGTCCTGATAGATTCAAACATATAAACTCTACAGCTAGAGAAGCGATTGTCAAAGCTGGATTTGTTGATGAAAATGACTCCAAAAGTCCAAAAAGAAAAAGAAATAGATTACATAGAAATAAAGAATT